CCTCCGCGAGCCCGCAGGCCCCCACCCAGGGACTGCTGCACGGCTCGCCCGCCCGATTCATCGCCCTCCACCGCGGCTCACTGCATGTCTGCGTGTTCCTCACCCTCCCCCACGAAGCCCGCGCTCGCGAGGAAGTTGGTCCACTGAGCTTCCCGACATCAGGAACACCGCCTGGGACACCCAAAGGCCTCCTGAAGGTCGGTTCCAGAGCCGTGGACACACCGGGACGGGGGCCAGGGTCGCAGGCCCAGGGACGGCGCCGCGAAGAAATGACACCTGAAACCCAAACCACCAGGCGGCGGGGGTACCGCAAGGAAGGGCCGGACCCCAGTGCAGCCACCGGGCGGCCCTCAGCCCAGCGCGCGGGTAAGCACCTTGCAGACGTGCATCCACGAGTGGCGGCAGCACCCTCGGGTTCTAGACAGTGCCAACGCAGGGTGGAGAGCAGAGGAGAGGAGGAAACTGGGGTGAAGGGGACCAGAGCCCGCATGGGAGCTGCGTCCCACTACCCGGGAGGAACAACCCGGGAGGGTACATGTAATGTACCCTCTTACTGAGGCTCTCAGACTGGGCCCTGGCCGGGGGCCCTGTCTGCTCAGCAGTTAAGGAACGTGGGCCTTGGACTCGAGTTCTGCACACCAAGGACATCCTCAGTGCAGCCCAGCAAGCTCCTCATGCGCTGCCCTGTGCCTGCCCTGTGAGGGCCCGGGTCTCCCCCCCAGCAGCTCCAGGTCTTCATACACCTTTCACCACACTGGCTGTACTCACAGGCCTGCCCAGAGCTGTAGCTCCAGGCAGGAGGTCCTCCACAGGTGACCTCAGGTGCCCCTGCAGGCCGCTCGCCACTCTTCAAGGCGGGCCTCTGACAGCTCAGCACAAAGAGTCCAACAGCACCTCCATTTGTCGCCTATATGCCAAGGGTCGTGACTTTCCCAGAACTAGCTCCGCAATTAAGCCCCAAGTCCTCTGAGACAGTGGAAAGCCGAGCCATAGCCCAGCCAGACGACCAGAGAGCAGCCACGCCAAGACAGGCCCGCACAGCCAGGTCAAAGAGACAGCAATGACACTATGCAGCGTGCCCTGCACTCCAAGGGAAGCGGGACCCCAGGACATGGTATCAGTCACCAGAGCTTGCTGGAGACACTTGTGTTCAGGCCTTGGTCCAGCCCAGGGAGTCAGAGATCCAAGGTGGGCGCAGGCTGGTGCTTAAGCCCCCAGGGACACTGAGGCAAGCTATTGAGAATAGAGATTCTGGGTCGGAGTACTGAATGGCCCTCAGATCACCGGGCCAAAGGCAGGAGAGGACAACACAAATCAAGAAGAGTTAGGCACACTTAATCAGAGGTGTCGAAAGAATAAGAAAACGGAATCACCCAAAGCTGTTCCTCTGGGGCCGTGTGACTGGGGGACAGGAGGCGGCAAGCAGGAAAGGGGCCTGCCTGTCCCTGTAAACTGAGCCATACTCTCTGAGCCTTACGGGTGTGCACACCTTTCAGTAACTGCTTAGTTTTCAAAATTGTCGGGAACGGGTGCATGCTTGTGTCGAGGTAACTGGGGGGCCAGGGAGGGGGTGTAGCCTCGAAGGCGGGGAGGGGGCAAAGGAGCCCAGGCCTACCTGTCCAGAGATGTGCTAATGGGGGGAACTTGTCCAGAGAGCACTGCAAGGCTGCTGCCTGCAGGAAGTGAGGGGTCCCCGAGGGGGCCAGCCCTGTGGGAAAGCCAGGCCTGTTCCCTGTGCCACAGAGCTCTTTTCTAAGGAGGTGTTAGCACTGTTTTTGTGTTTTTATGAGTCAGTCTCACTCTGTCACCCAGGTTGGACTCACGGCCACCACAGCCTCAACCTGCTGGGCTCAGGCTATCTTTCCGCTTCAGCCTTCCAAATAACTGGAACTACAGGTGTGTGCCACCACACCTGGCTAGTTTTTCTTGATTTGTTGTAGAGACAGGTCTCTCCACATTGCCCAGGCTGGTCTCGAACCGCTGGGCTCAGGCCATTGGCTCGCCTCAGAGCACTGCTAAATGGACAAGGGTCTCCGGATCCCAGCAGCCCTCCTCAGGCCCCTCCCTGTGCATCACAGGCAGGCAGCCGGATGCCCAGGAGCTGAGTCTCCTCACAGGAGAGCCACATGCCTCGCAGTGTTTTCTTTAAAAGCATCTGAGAAATTCCCAGAATGAGCACATTAGGAGTACCAGATCCTCCATTTAAAAAGGACAGCAGCTGCCCTGGGGAGAGGCAGCGTCCACGCTGGCCCTCCCTCTCACATCCTCTCAAGTCTGTGATTACCAGGTCACTCCCAGGCCCCCTTCTCCCTGGAGGACTCCACTCAAGAGCCCCGAAAGCACGCGAGGGCAGGGCCTCTGCCCCGGAGCTGCAGTTTTCCTGGAGGCTGGCCCTGAACAACCCAGAGCGGAGAGGAAGGGCACCCAATGGAGCACAGGGCTGGAGAGCCAGCAGGGCCCGGCCACCAGGGCCCCACCCAGCCCTGACAGCATCCCTGCTCTTGCATGTCCCCAGGCCCGACTGGCTGGGCTCTAGCCTAGCGTCACCCACAGGTCCCCTGCGCCACTCGCTGCTCATGAAGAAGCAGCACCTGTGAAGCCAAGCCTGCAGATGGCTCTTGAGTACACTGTGGCACTGACGCTCCCTGAGGAGGGCGGGGCCTCGTTCCCAAGACACCTGCTGTAAGCGGCCTTGCTGGGAAAAATCCCACCTCGAAATCATCATCTGCATTGCTTTTGCCTCCAAATGTCCTGCAGCTGTGGTTCAGGCCCCAGGGCCACTGAGCAGCGCAGACCCTGGCCTCAGCCTGTGGGAGGCCGGATCCCACCCCTGACTCCCAGCTGCCTCACCAGGGCGGTAGCTCAGCCTCTCTGTCCCAGGACCCTCAAAAAGGGGGAGCCCGTGCAGATTCAGTGAGACGACCCACCTGGGCTGCCGGCGCTGGCACTGGGCACACAGGACACCCTTGTGCAGTGACACCACTGTCCAACAGTATGATCTGAGCACACCTCCCAGAAATACTCAAGTGCAAACAAATCATAATTATTTCTAAGGTTTCAAAAACACTCTGGATAAGCCAATCTAATTGGAATGACTTCTTAGTCATTTGAAACCTCACATTCACTTATTCACCAAGCACACACTTGGGAAGGACACCTGTCCCAGAGCGCACATCCCACTGTGGGCCACAGTCCAGGGGCGGGGCTTAGGTTGCCTGTGTGGATGGTGGCCAGCATTTTTTTAAGATGGAATTGCGGGCAGAAGAAAAAATGGAAACATCATGGAGAGCTGTCCTGCAAGACGTCTGTGCTGGTCTTGTCTAGGTAAGCACATGTGTGTTTGTGTGCACAGGCAAAGAGTGAGATGGGAGAGCACTGGGGACACTGTGTAGGTGTCACACAGCCAATGTTTCAAAATGGAGGCATGAGTCCCCAGGGGGCAAGGCCACCCGTCCCGGGTGACAGTGTCCCGCCACATCACGTCTCTCGGGCCTGCTGGTCATAAGGGGTGGCAGCCCCACAGCTGTGAGACGGAGTGGGCTCCAGTGGAAGGCATGGAAACTTGTCCCTTACCCTCTGGCTGAGGCCTGGCAGCTGAGCCATCCTGGGCACCCCGCCCCTGTGCCTGGGGTGTCCAGGGACCTGAGGCAAAGCTACAGAAGGGCATGACACCAAGGCTGAGGTCCATCTCAGGGGGTCCAGGACGTCCCAGAGAGGGGACTCAGAGCAGCAGCTGAGTGAACCACTCTCCCCTGCCCCACCTGCAGGCTGGCAGCCTGAGCCCCTGAAACGTCCTTACACTAAGGCTCTGTTGGCCGAGCCCCCTGTTCCAGCAGCTGAGAGCATCCCCACTGCCTGGCCTCCCCAGGTCCCTCCAGCCACCTGGCCTTACCTCCTCCCGAGAGACAGCCTTCTGGTTAGAGTCTGAGCTGAGCCACCTGAGCTCCCGGCAGTGAGCTCCGAGGGGCAGAGCAGCTGTGGATCCCCAGCCCAACTTGCAGAAGGTGAGGACACACGGGTGACTTGGGACATCTCAGGGAGTATAGCACTGGATCAAGGGAGGGAGCAGGTCGCCCGTGTTTCTGGGGAAGAACACCAAAGCGAAGCTGCAGGCCGGGGAGGACACCTAGGGGCCAGGAGTAGATGAGGGCTGCAAGGCCAGTCAGGATGTGGTGTTGGGCTCCCAGGGTGGCAAACTTGCCACCAAGAGGCTCAGTGATGTGAGCAGTGAACAGAGACCACCAGAAGGCCAGTGCCGTGACCCAGGTGGGAAGCCTCAGAGGGCAGATGCTGGGGCACACCAGAAGTCGCGAGTGACGGGGCGAGGCCTGACCTGTGCCAAGCGCGTCGGCTCTGGGTCACGGCCCCTCCCTGGGGCTCTGAGCAGCACTTCCCACCTAGGGCAGGGGAGCCTCTACCCCCTTGTCCTCGGCTCTCCTCCATCCTGTGGGACTCCCTGGGAGTGGACTCGGGCTGGACATGTTCCGTCGGCCACACCCACATGCACATGGATGAAAGCCGCGCCAGCTGCCTCCTCCCGGGACCCTGCACACCAGGCAGAGCAGGTGGGTTTTATTCTACAGCAGCTCTTCACGCCCACCCTGTGGCTGCACATCCCTGGGGCAGACCAGGGGAAGAGGGACAGCAGCCCGACAGTGCACAGACCCCATTGCCTCGCCCCCGTGGGCGTCCGGACTAGAGTCACAGGCAGGCCCAGACGTGGGGGCCAGAGCGGCTGGGGCCTCACAGCACATTCTTGATATCGCTGATCAACCAAGCGCAGGGTGTCGCAAATGGTGAGGCCACAGGGAGCACCAAGCAGAGGTCCCTGCCCTGGGGCAGAGACTTCCAACAGGTGGGGCAGGAGGACGGGAGGTGCCCCGGCCAAGGGGACTCGAGACCCACCTTCCCTCAAGAGACTGTACAAGCCAGGGATGACTTGTAAAACCAACTGACGCAAAGAGAAACACACGCTTGAAGACACCTGGGAACATTTTAGCAGGGACTGAGCACTAGATGACAAGGAATAACATTTTGTAAGTGAGATCAGCACTTTGAAATTTTGTTTTTGTGTTTTTCTGAAGATCTTATGTGTTGGGAAAGTTGTGGGCAAAATGAGCCTGCACCCCACTGGCCACGGACCCTGGCAGAGACTCCCAACCCTCTGGTCTCAGGCTCCTCTTGACGACCCCTGCCATGTGGGCTGTGTCCACAATCTCCCATGGATTTCACAAGGGGTGGCTGACCCCAACTGCACCAAGGTCCTCGTGGTCCTTCTGTGCCAGCTGTGGCACGCAGCACAGGCTGGCAAACTGCGCCTGACTTTACGAGTCAGGTTTCACGGCACGCAGCCACACCTGGTCGCTCCTGTGCTCCTCCGGGCCGCTCTGCGCTACTGTGGCATGTACCCTGTGGGGCGGTAGGTACCTCCTCTCCAGCCCTTTGCAGAAATGGCTGCTGGCACTGGCCAGGCAATGCCCAGCATGTGGACTCATCAGCGGCAGCATGAGAAGAAGTCCACACCGCATCTCTCAGGGCTGGAGGGGCCCTGCCATGAAGGCCCCTGGAAACAGGGCACATGGCCTCCATAGAGGGAAGGGGGAGGCCATGAGGCTGCTGGTGGGGCTGGGGTAGGGTCAGGATGGGTCTTGGCACACACACCTGGGCCCCATGGAGCCCACAAATGATTTTATTCAGCCCAAATAATGCTTTATTAGAACACACTGCCAACATCTGCCTGGCTCTCCCTGAGAAGCCCATGTGTCCTTGGCTCCTGTGCTCCCGGCCGCCCAGTCCTCACCTGCCCAGGTCTAGGGAGTTTCCTGCCAGGGTGGGTTGGGTGGCTGCATGGGATGGGGAGCGGGGCGCAGGGAGGGGAGACGGACCATCCTCAACACCAGATGGTGCCACCGGGCTGGAGGCGCAAGAGCAGGCCAGGTAGAGAAAGCAGCTCAAGGGCCTCAGGAGGAGACCAGGAGCCACGACGCCCAGCCCTCCACCTGGAGCTGGGGGCGCAAGGCCTGGGAAGGAAGGCCAGCGGTCAGGCAGTCCCAGGGCCTGGGAGGGGAGGATGGGCAGGAGGGGCCCCTCACGCCCAGATGAAGGAAATGGGCGGGACAGGAGGGTGTGGGCCGGCTGGAGCCAGGGACCACCTCACCTGGGTTCTCGTGGCTGGCCATCTGCTGGTCCTCGGAATCCAGAGGCCCTGGAGACCAGGCCTCTTCTCGCAGCTCCATGGCTGGGTCCCTGTTAGAGGAGGGCAAGACAGGAGGACAGTTCACAGGATGTCACGCATGACAGAGGGCCCTGCAGGGAGGCACCATGTGGACCCCACCGGCAGGCAGAGGCCCAGCACGCACCTCAGGGGTCTCAGAGACACAGCCTGGGCTAGCCTGGCCCTCCTCCCTGGAGGCCACAAACAACGAGGAAAGGGATCAGCTCAGGACTCACGCAGGCTGCAGCTGCCGCTAGCCCCTGGCCCAGCCCCACGACTTGCCCGCAGGATCTGGGCAGCAACTCCACCTCTGGGCCTCAGCTTCTCCACCACCAAGATGGAGGACAAGGGGACCGTCCAGTGTACACAGGAGAATGCATGTGTGGCACTCTTGCCACAGAGAAGGGACCGTAACAGAGTCCCATGGCCCCTGGCAGACCACTGACCCAAGCCCGCAGAGACAGGGCAGCAGCACGCACATGTGCAGGGCTCCTGTGTCACGAGGCGCTGCCAACCTGCACCCACCCACCTTTGTGGCTGCCATGGTGGCTGAGCCCAGAGTGGACACGTGAGTTGCCTGGGGAGTTCCTCCCCAACCCTCTTTTAAAGCTCATGACAGTCAAGCCAGACTGGTGGATAGGCTCCGATGCCTGGTGGCATCAACATGCAGACAGGCGGTGTGGCACTCTTGCCACAGAGAAGGGATCAACCTGCTGGCCAGGTGAGGCCGGTGTGCAGGGACGAGGGACTTGGACCACCGCACGGGGCCCCAGGACAGCAGGGCCCCGGTGGGGCCACACACACATCCCAGGCCGGAGTTCCACACTCCAGGGATGTTTCCACCCAGGGATGTGACAGCCTATGTCCACAGCCAAACAAGGGCAGTTAAAAGGATGTCCTGCTGGACCAAGCGCAGCGTGTCCACCACCAGCTGACCATAGCCAGTCACAGAGGTCCTTCTCCATGCCATGGCTTCACTTGACTAGCCCCAAAAAAGAAAATCTCACTCTGTCTCATACAGGGCTTGGGGCAGGCTCACTGAGGCCTGCAGCACCAGCACTGGGGCTATGACCACCCTGCTCCCTGGGTGGCAGGAGCGTGGAGAGGCCTGCCTGAGGCGATGCCCTTCAGTGCAAGTCCCTTCAGTGTGCTGCCATCTCAGAACAGCCCGAGGAGCCCAGGCCCACCACGGGCACCCCCAGCCCTGCCCCAGCTCCACTCTGTCTCTGCACCTGCCTGGGTGGGCACTGTGGCAGCAGGAGGAAGCTGTCTGTCCCCTTCCTGCCTGGCTCCTCCCCCAGCTGGACAGCCGCCAGTTCCCCCGCAATGCACATGTCCTGGTGCGCTGCTCCTGTCCACAGCTGAGCAGTAGTCCACTGTGTGGAAGGGCCACACGCCAGCCACCAGCCACAGAACTGGCTCCCACGAACAGTCTTGGTCAGCACCGGCATCTGAACATGTATCTGTGTGGACGCATGTCTTTGCCTCTTGGGGGGGGTGAGCGCTCCAGGGTTCACACTCAAACCCCAAGGCCACACCCCGTGACTGCCATAAGGGGCAGGGCCTGTGGGGGGCTCAGCATGCAGGCAGGGGGATGAGTGGGCCAGCCCCAGTGGGCCCCTGGATGCCCTTTCTGTCACAGCTGTGCACTGCGGCGGAGCGGCCCGGGCTTCCACCACCACCAGCAAGCTTGTGCTCCGGCCTGGTCCCTGGAGTAGCCTTGCCCCCTGCAGTTGGACCCCTGGCGGGACACGGCATCACAGCACCAACCACCGGGACACCAGTAGAGGAGCCCAGGCCAGTGCGCTCGGGTCAGATGCCCTCAGTGCCAAGGAGCCCTCGCCTGCCGTCTGCATTGCTCACTCCACCAAGGAAGCCTCACCCTGGGTCAGCAGGATCGGTGCTGGGAAGGCAGGTGCTGCTCTACCCCGAGCAGCTCCATCTCCTCTGCAACCACCTTGAACCCCCCCGTGACATGGACTCACCACCCCCGAGCGCCCCACGGAGCCATCCCACCGTCGGGGTTAGTGGCAAGCCTGCCCCGGAAGCTTCTACTGCCATCTCCAAGCTGCCTGGTAGGCACTCAGGGAAGCTGCCCGTCCTGGGAACAAATGCACGCAGGCACACCATGTGATTCAGCAGGCGGCACGTGGACACCCACCACAGAGGCCCCTGGCCCCCTCCACAAGGCCAGCAAACCATGGAGGAGTCCGAGTCTGCCACACCCTCTGGGCCGGCATGACTGTGTCCCCAGCACACAGATGAGCACACTGAGGCCCAAGGTCCCCAGCCAGGGTGGGCAGAACTGCAACTTGGACACAATCACAGGCTCACCCAGGCAGTGCCCCTTCCCAACAGCCACGGGACACGCAGGCCTGTGCTCCTGTGTGTCCCCACTGCTTGGCACCTGCAGGGCCACACACGGGCCACCAGAAGGACGCAGCCCACCCCAGCCCCACACAGGACCTGCTGGAGGACAGGCCTGCCCACGCTATGGGTTCCGGCTACTGCTCCAAGCTGCCCCATGCCCAGGACGGCGCCCGGAAAGGTGAGCACACCGGAACAGGCCTCTGGGGAGGACACGGCACCGCTCTGCATGCTCCCTGCATGAACATGCTCTATGTAGAGGAGTCGAGGCTCAGCATCCCCTGCTGGCCAGGAGCTCTGACCATCCTGAAATTCAGTGGGCAGCAGGAGGGCCCTGCCAGGTGCAGGTGCCACAAAAGGGGCAGCCAGGCCTGTGCACAGAGTGATGAGGTCAGAGGGCAGCAGTGGGAGGAGGACTTGTGCTGGGACCACCTGAGTAGCCTTGGCCTGCCCAAGACTGACCACGTGTACAGAGAGAGCGACAGGAGAGGGCCACGGAGGTGAGCGAGGGCTGGAGGTGGCCACAGACACTGAGTGAGGGCGCGAGGGGACCACCGAGGGAAGCGAGGGCAGGAGGAGCAATGCGTGGAAGTGAGAAAGTGCTGGCAGAACTCCAGCGGGTCAGAGTCCACATGGGGGCAGGCAGGCAGGCCCCAGCCCTGGGTGGCAGTTCAGGGCCTCAGGGGCTCCCGGCCCTGCCCCAGTCACCACAGGCCAGCATGCCTGGGCCCTGAGGGCATCCTAACTCAGTTAATGCTGCTGGGCTGAGGGCACGGGTGAGGAAGGGCTCCCTGGAGCAGCCTCGCAGCCTCGCAGCCCCCTGCATCCTGAGCAGCATGGGGAGGGCGTCCTAAGTCACGCGGAGGGCGTCCCAAGTCGCTTGGCACCCCCTTCACAGGTTAGATGCATCAGAACATGGGTCGCAGTAACCTCACAACAGATGGAAGGCTTTCTGCTTCTCATCTTCACTGATTTCTTTCTTTCTTTTTTTTTTTTGCATAGAGACGAGGTCTCCCTATGTTGTCTCAAACTCCTGGGCTCGAGCAATCCTCCTTGGCCTCCAAAAGTGCCAGGATTACAGGTATGAGCCACCATACCCAGTCTTTTCTTTATTTCTTGTTTTTTTAAATCTAGTTGTTAACAGTAACAGAGTATCCCATCTGGGACAAGAAAGATGAATGGTTTCTACAGCCCTTAGGGCTGTTTCAAGGTGGGCACGCTGCTGGGGACTGGCAGACGTGAGACAGGGGTGCACACATGCCAGAGCGGACACTGGAGGCACGTGGACCACAGCAAGTACGGGGGTGCCTGACCGCCCTCCCTCCAGGAGGCTGAGGAACCCTGCCACCACGGGCAAGGGAGTCGCTGCTGCGTCTGCACAAACCACCATTAAGACAGCCCCATATCCCTCGGCCTCCTGCTGACTTGCTTTTCTCCCTGGCTACCGTCTGCTTAGCCCGACAACAAACACAGAGGCCTCAGCGCTTCGGGGTCTTCAATTCCTGGGAGTCTCCCACGTACGTGTAAGAATGGAACCTGTGTGCTTTTCTGCTGCTAATCTGCTTTGTGTCAACGTGAGTCTCAGACCCTTCCTGAGACCCGAAGACAGAGAGGAAGAGTTCTGCCTCCCCTGCGCAGCATACACAACCCTGTGGGCCCTCAGATCACACCAGGGGTCCCAAGCCCCCGGGCCGTGAACCTGTAGGGTCAGTGGCCTGTCAGGAACTGGACCGCACAGCAGGAAGGGAGCAGCAGGCATGTTCTGCCCTGTCAGGTCAACAGCATTAGAGTCTCATGATTGTGAACTCTAAATTTTATGAATGTGTGAGTCCTATCTCTCTTAGAAAGTAAGTAACCTTTTAAAAGTTGCACAGGCCTTGCAATTACAACGTGAACAAACAAATGCCCTCAGAAAAGAAGGCAGAAGCCAGGCACAGTGGCTCATGCCTGTCATCCCGGAACTTTGGGAGGCAAAGGCAAGAGGACTGCCTGAGTCCAGGGATTCAAGACCAGCCTAGGCAACTTGGCGAGACCTCATCTCTACAATAAATCAAAAAAATTAGTCAGGTATAGTGGCACAGGCCTGTGGTTCCAGCTACTTGGGAGGCTGAGATGGAAGGATCACCTGAGCTCAGCAAGAGCTTGCCACTGCACCCCAGTCTGAGTGACAGAGTGAGACTTTGACTCAAAAAAAAAAATAGAGCAGCCTGACCAGGGACCAAGGAGGTGGGAGGGGAGGCAGTCCCCCACCTCCTTCCCTTTATTTTCGAGTGCTGGAACATAAGCACATAACTCAGTAAAAGCTGGGACTTCCAGCCTGGGGCAGTCCCCAGGTCTCCACCTTCTGAGGGTCTGCCTCCACTCCCCTCCAGCTGCAAGTGGCCTGGACAGTGGCGGGTGGCTCTCTCACTCAGTGGGGACCTACTGTACACCAGGAGGCCCACCCTGCCTGGAACCCGGGTGGCTGTGCCATGAGGCAATGAGCACCCAGCAGACCCAAGTCCTGGGTGGTGAGAGCCCGGGCAGAAGTCAGGCCAGCCAGAGAGGCTAGGGGGGCGGGCTGGAAAGGCATCTCTGTGGCACAGCTGGAGGTCTGCGGTTAAGCTCAACTGCTGCCACCATGAACTGCCCTCGCCCAAACACGGCTGCACACGTTTAAACAGCC